AAAGGATAACAACGTCATCATCGGAAATAACAGTAGCAAAAGTATAACAATGTCATCAAGGGGAAATAACAGTAGCAAAAGTATAACAACGTCATCATGGGAAATAACAGTAGCAAAAGTAAAACAACCTCATCATGGGAAATAACAGTAGCAAAAGTATAACAACGTCATCATCGGAAATAACAGTAGCAAAAGTATAACAACATCATCATGGGAAATAACAGTAGCAAAAGTATAACAACCTCATCATGGGAAATAACAGTAGCAAAAGTATAACAACATCATCATGGGAAATAACAGTAGCATAAGTATAATGACGTCATCATCGGAAATAACAGTAGCAGAGGTATAACAACCTCATCATGGGAAATAACAGTAGCAAAAGTATAACAACGTCTTCATCGGAAATAACAGTAGCAGAGGTATAACAACGTCATCATGGGAAATAACAGTAGCAAAAGTATAACAACGTCATCATGGGAAATAACAGTAGCAAAAGTATAACAACGTCATCATGGGAAATAACAGTAGCAAAAGTATAACAACGTCATCATGGGAAATAACAGTAGCAAAAGTATAACAACGTCATCATGGGAAATAACAGTAGCAAAAGTATAACAACCTCATCATGGGAAATAACAGTAGCAAAAGTATAACAACCTCATCATGGGAAATAACAGTAGCAAAAGTATAACAACGTCATCATCGGAAATAACAGTAGCAAAAGTATAACAACATCATCATGGGAAATAACAGTAGCAAAAGTATAACAACCTCATCATGGGAAATAACAGTAGCAAAAGTATAACAACATCATCATGGGAAATAACAGTAGCATAAGTATAATGACGTCATCATCGGAAATAACAGTAGCAGAGGTATAACAACCTCATCATGGGAAATAACAGTAGCAAAAGTATAACAACGTCTTCATCGGAAATAACAGTAGCAGAGGTATAACAACGTCATCATGGGAAATAACAGTAGTAAAAGTATGATGACGTCATCATGGGAAATACAACAGTAACAGAGGCATAACGACGTCATAATGGGAAATAACAGTAGCAAAAGGATAACAACCTCATCATGGGAAATAACAGTAGCAGAGGTATAACAACCTCATCATTGGAAATAACAGTAGTAAAAGTATAATGACGTCATCATGGGAAATACAACAGTAACAGAGGTATAACGACGTCATAATGGGAAATAACAGTAGCAAAAGTATAACAACGTCATCATCGGAAATAACAGTAGCAAAAGTATAACAATGTCATCAAGGGGAAATAACAGTAGCAAAAGTATAACAACGTCATCATAGGAAATAACGGGAGCAAAAGTATAACAACCTCATCATGGGAAATAGCAGTAGCAGAGGTATAACAACCTCATCATCGGAAATAACAGTAGCAAAAGTATAACAACGTCATCATAGGAAATAACGGTAGCAAAAGAATAACAACCTCATCATGGGAAATAACAGTAGCAGAGGTATAACAACGTCATCATGGGAAATGACAGTAGCAGAGGTATAACAACCTCATCATCGGAAATAACAGTAGCAAAAGTATAACAACGTCATCATAGGAAATAACGGTAGCAAAAGTATAACAACGACATCATGGGAAATAACAGTAGCAAAAGTATAATGACGTCATCATGGGAAATAACAGTAGCAAAAATATAACAACGTCATCATCGGAAATAACAGTAGCAAAAGTATAACAACGTCATCATAGGAAATAACGGTAGCAAAAGTATAACAACCTCATCATGGGAAATAACAGTAGCAGAGGTATAACAACGTCATCATGGGAAATAACAGTAGCAGAGGTATAACAACCTCATCATGGGAAATAACAGTAGCAAAAGTATAACGACGTCATCATGGGAAATGCCCGTAGCAAAAGTATAATGAGGTCATCATGGGAAATAATAGAAAAAGTATAATGACGTCATCATGGGAAATAACAGTAGCAAAAGTATAACATACGGTGCCCTAATAACTCTTGTTTGTCCAGATTGAAGTGTGCAGAGGGTCTTAATGTGGGGGGAAACCAGAGTACCAAAGAATGCATGGTCAGGTGGGTGACCCAAGACCTGTGCTATCCACTACTTAACATGATCACCACCTAGAAATTAGTGATAGGTGACTATACAGTTATAATGTTGACTAGTGTTATAAAGATTGGGGTAGTGGTAACTGCATGCTTCCTTTTCAGAATGGATAAATGTTAATTGGAGAAAAAAAACAAAAAAACTCAAAACATTGACCAGGTTTTATTTTAAACAACATATCAATGCCGGACAAAAATATATTAAACACGAAAATTTGAGTGTTGTAGACACAAAACCTGTAGTGTTGTATAAAACTTGTACTATTGCAAACACATAACCTGCAGTACTGTAAACACAAAAACTATAATGTAAAGGCTAAACTTTTGGTATTTCAAACAATAAATTTATTTCAGGTAACACTTTATTTAATTCACAATAGAAGAGAGTTGCTAAATTATTTCCTGATCAATTAAACAAAATGCAGATCAATTTTTAAATTGTAGACTATAATGTCAGAGCTGGTACTTTATACATGGTCAGTTTGACTGGTTTACTACAGTTATAGAAGCTCAAAGTCCTGATGAAATAATTCCAATGTAAACATCATTACAATAGAAAAACACTCATGAGTTTTGCACTTAAAGTGGTAGAGTCACTAACACGATGACAATATTGACCAATTCTAAAGTTCTAATACAAATTAAATACAAACTTCATTTTAAACCAATTCTGAAACACGTTTTTCTGACTTATTAATCATCACTCTTGCTGGCCCTGATGGAAATGTGCAGAGGCTGATAATGTGAGAGGAAACCGCAGTACCCGGAAAAAAACTCATGTTGTCCAGGGGGTGACCCTTTTCACATCTGATTGAAGAATCAATCCGCGGCCATCTTGGCAAAAGGTAAGTGGATTATTCACTGCATCACACAACCAAAACTAAGTTATATACACCCTCTATTGATCATTAACTATCAAAATATTTGTTACCCTTTTACAATCATTTTCAAACACTTTAATTTTCAGATCGGTAATAACAAACATACATCAGAGACTAGGTAAATGTCGGAGCAAAACGTGCTACCATCTGTTCAGGTTCTATAATGACCGAGTTGTGAACACTGCACTGGCAAGGTGAGTATATATATAATGTACAATTACCCTATATCATGTTATTTATGCAAGATGCAAATATCACAAATTTGTTCCAAAAATAGTTCTGCAATTAACTGCTTTTAACTGCATGTTAACGCTATCACTCTAATTTGCAGAAATACTTTTTTGGTAATTAAATGTTTACAGTCCATTTTTGGCAAAATTCATCACTTCACAAATAAAGCACAAACTAGATACTCACGAAAAATACCCCGATATACAACATTATTATTGTTATTATTTTGCAAAAAAATACATTTTTAGGGGTCCTTGTCCAACTGCAAGCAACTCAATAGAAAATCCCCCTGTAGTTTTCCATAAATGCTACAGTAGCCTCCCCTTAGTTTGTTTTGGATATAGCTGTAATGTGACTTGGGGAACTACTGCTGATCTAGGTAGGTAGTTCAGTTGGCTAGAGCGATCGATTAGAGGTCAGAGTTTAAATCTTGGTCAAGCCATTGCCTTTTCATTCTCAGAACACAGTTTCTAACATTTTCTTAATCTTTATGATTTTTTCATTGTTATTCTGTAAGGTTTGGTTTACTGTTCAGATTTTTTTTACGTAAGCTATAGTCAGTAAAAATGTTTCTGTTCAATATTTGGAGTTTTTGCCAGTGGTACTGGGATTCTGTTCAATATCTGGAGTTTTTGCCAGTGGTACTGGGATCCTTAACTCAATTTTAAGAAAGGTTGCAAATATCAATAAAAGAAATAGAATTTATCCTTTTAAAATGTTCATTCAAGTTACTAAGTGTTTAGAATATATAAGTTAATTCAAACATGTCAAAGTAAATTCCCAATAAAAAAATCATCTTTTTGAGATGTCTCCAATTTTCTGTGATAAAATGAAATAATTTTATTTAAACACCAATTTGCAATATTTTGGAGATAAGAAAAGTAGGATATGTTTCATAAAAAATAATACAATATTTCATGAGTATTGAAAATAACTTGCTTTTTCTAAGTTTTCAGGTTTATGGATATTTAAGACAGGCTAAAAATACTTGGTAACAATATCGCTCTAGGTTTAGGTATTCATTGACTATCACATTCGTTTGCTATTCTTCAACTTCTTGTGACTTGATTTTGTGTAGATGAGCATTGTTTGAAATACTGCTATGGTATGTGAATTGATGACTTGCCTATAGAGATGAAGCTTTTCAGTTAAATCTATAACTTTATAACTATTAAGGGGGAGATATTTCTATATAATATATATTTGATAGCAGTGGAACGTTTCTATGTAATATTATGTAATGTTTAGAAAGTGAAGTTTCCTTGACTTCACATTATAGGCAAGATTAAAACATAATCTGGTATATAAAAACATCACCGATTCATTAACATATTATGTCCTCTATATATATGTAAAAACTTATAAATTAATTAATATGTGTCTCCTATACATGTATAAACAAAAATCATAAATACACAATGGTCTTCTTTTTGTCCATAATATGTAGATATATATATATATATATATTATATGTCTTTTCCGTATCAAAATAAAAGGTTAGAATTTAAACCATTAGATTCAATTATCATAAAAATGGGTATTAGTAGTTGTTTCCCCTAATTTGATTATTAATTTGATTATATGTGTTTGTACGTGTTCTAATGTCTATGTCTATGCTTGTACCACTGTCTGTTACTTTGTTTGGAGAGGGCTTAAATAGGCTATGCCTGCTGCCCAATCCATTTGTCCTTTGACAACAAAATTTATTGAAATGGTCTTCTATAAAAAAAAAAAAACATGATTTTTTTATTATGTCTCCTACGCAAGCAAAATCAATGATTTATCAATATATGTCTCCAATGTATATAATAAATTAACAAAAAGTATTTATTTCATTTATGTGTCTCCTATACCAAACATCACCAGTTCATAAATATAACTGTTTTCTTCTTCAAAACTTCACCAAATGTTTGACTACCACATACTTTTTTAAATCCTAATGGACTCTTTAACATGAATCTTCTACAATGCATAGAAATAAACCTTTCATTTCTCATGTTTTCAAAGTATACATTGGTGACAGTAATATTCAGATACAAGCAGCATTGTAGATTAACAAGGTTTCAATGAATCTATAACGAACGTCAGTCTCACAACGTTTCTTTACAGTGTACATAGTATGAAACCGAATTGGACTTTGTAGTAAAAGGGTTCTAAAGCATCCTATACAAGAACAACAAGAAACCAGTTGACAGTAACACTTTGTTATACAGGGATAACATACGACACCACTTCACCATAGTGGTGGTCGTATGGTTGGATAGGTACATTTACATACTACATTTTATATTCTGTACCTACTCAAACAGTATTTGAACTTTTCAAATACCCTGGAAAGTTACTTCAATATCAAAAATTCAGTAAACGAATTGATTTCATTTTTAAAATTGAAGAAGATAATAAAATTGTAATGCCAATTTAAAGGTTGGTACACGTGTTGGGAAAAATGTAAAACTAGTTATCGTATCTCAAATGGAAGAAAAATGTTTTTAAATAAAACTTTATTTGGTTTATCGTTTAAGCTACAATACAGATCAACTCCAATCAACGGTAAATTTATAAGAAAAAAAACATTTATTTTGTTAATGTGAACTTCAAATCAATATAATATACCTTGAGTTCATAAATAACCAGGATTCCTTTAAGATCTTAATTGTTATCTACAAAAAAAATCTCATTTTCATCACAGAATAATAACCAACAGTAAATATCATAGGGTTAAACTTTTTAAGTTCAGTTCTCAAACAAGAGGCCCACAGGGCCTGTAAAGCTCACATGGATAATAGGTAAGCAACCATGGGAAAATATTAACTATTTCTAAATATTGGCGTAGTTTCTCAGCAACACCGGTACCTGTCCCTCATTGATTCTTGCTGCCCTGCTGAACGTTCATGGAGTTAAAACATTTACCTTAATTTCTCCTATTGGGCTTTTTGCTCTCAGAGGAACACATCGTCCATTTATACAAAATTGATTCTAATTTGCTTAAGGATGCTCTACACCAAATTTGGATAAAATCAGTTAATTGGTACGGAAAGAGAAGGATGTTAAACATTAAAATATCCCTACAATGCCCCTATTGGACCCTGTCTCTCTACCACTTGAGGGGTGGCACCCTCCATTTATACAAATGGAATCCCCTTTGCCCAAGGATGTTCTCCACAAAAATTTGGTTAAAACTCTAATATTCATTAGGGAAGAGAAGGATTTTAAACATTTCTAATTATGTTCTTATTAAACCCAATCACTCTGCCCGAAGGTGGACCACATCCTCCGTTTTTATAAAAGGGAGTCCCCTTTGCCAAAGGGTGCTTTGGTCCAGAAAATCCACTGAGCCATTCAGGAATAGTCGTGTTTTAAACAATTTGTTTTACTGATGGACGATGGACTCTGCACCACAGCATAAGCTCACCAGTCCTTAAAGGACTAGGTGAGCTAAAAATTGAGTCGACATTTGTAAGGAATAAAAGAGAAAAAAACATCAGTTAACATGAACATGACACGATAAATTATCTAGAGAATCATATCATATGGTTTTGGTTCATTGCAATGAATATTGTTATCGTAATCACTTAAATATCAATAATACTATAAACTAAGTACCGTGTTACAGTACAGTACAGTACAAAACAGTAAAAACCTTAAAGAATTTATAAAAAAGTTTGAAGAACTGTCATGAATAAATATGTTGAATTGTTCAAAAAGTGAATTTTAAAGTATTGCTTAGGCGAAGATGTCTGCATGTCTGCCCAGCCCCATCTGTTGTGAACATGCATTTTTATCAAAACCAGTTGCAGACACCAACTGATATGATGTGTGATTCAAGTCTTAACATGAAACTGGTGATCCATATAAAAAGTGCTTCTAGAGAAAAAGTGGAATAATAAATTGTCTGTCCTAATAGATATTGACATTATAATGGATTGTCGCCTGTCCTCCTCCGTACCAGTGGTTTCCGTGGTGATTGATCTACTGGGCTGGTCACCTCACCATTTTTGGTTTCTGTTGCGGGACTAACACGCCCCGCAATGAAATAATAGTCTTTAAACTCCAAGTATCCACTCAGATGGTATGCCATGTTAGTGTATGCTATCACATACTCACAGGCAGAAAAATAGCTGAAGGCTGCAATCAAACAATGGTTACCTATAGATAAGGAATAATTTCTATGAATAGATCTTAAAATATATATGTGAGAACATTTAATTTACAGATGAAGTAAGTAAACTGATATGAATTTGTTGACAAAATGGCAATGGTTAATCTATAAATAGCAACAGTGACCTTGGCGTTAACCTTGGGACATCCTCCATTTTATATTATAGACATTAAATTCTCTTTGCCCAAAGATGCTCTAGAACAAGTTTGGTTAAAATCCCTTCACAGGTACAAAAGGAGAAGGATCTTTGATGTTTTCCTCTATTTCCCCTAATGAACTCCACCCATTTGCTGCCCCTCTTCCCTCAGGGGGGCCACACACTCTGTTTATACAAACTTAAGAAAAGTCAAACATGACCAAAGATGCTCTAGACCAAATTTGGTCAAAATCCTTCTATTGGTTGAGAAGAAGAAGATTTTTCAAGATTTACCTATTTTCCCCTATTGGAATTATCAAAGTTTTATTTTGTAAGATAAAGAAGAGATTTGGCCGGGACCGGAGAAATACTTCGAGATAAATGGAGTCTTTGAATTAAAAGAGTTCCAGATAATGAGGTTCAACTGTATTTGAGGTCAAGGTCAAAGATCCAATCAAGGTCACAGTGACTTTGTTTTAGGATGCAACACACCACCCATGTTGTACCTATATAAAAAGCTTGATGCCCCTTACATGGTTCAGTGGCTGAGACATGCTCTGGATATCTGAACTAAATATTTGAGGTCAAGGTCAAATTGAAGTCACAAAGACCTCATATTAGGATGCCACATACTGCCTTCCCACTGTGTACTTAGTACATACATCAAAGCAGAGGTATAATGAATCATGATGCAAGGAGATGCTATGGGATGGCGCAGCATAGGTAACATTATATGTCCCCCATTTAAATGAGAAGGGGTGCTTAAAGGGAATAGTTAAACAATACAATTTCAATAATATGATGACTTTAAGAAATAATATCCCCTTACAATGCAATGGTTAGAAGAAATGATGCCAATTGCTACCTTCCACACCCCTCCTCCCCTCCTTCACCACTGTACATAACAAAGTTTACCATATTGCTATGTGAATTAAACTTAGATGATAACAAAGTTTTCAGAAAGTAATATTGGCGCTCTAGCTGTGTTTGTTTTAGGCAGATTATACTTTACATGATCAACCAACTTACCAAATGGAATGCAGAAAAACCTGTGTCTGACAAAGAAAATAAGAAGTCCGCCAGTCGCTGATATAATAGCAATAAACATCCACTTCTTTATTTTATAGGATAACTGTTCCTGTAAATACACAAAAACACTATATCACAAGCCGACCAATCAGAGAGCAGGTTTAAGATATGTCTATATCAGAGAGCAGGTTTAGGGGATAGATTATCTGTTCATGAAAACCATATCTTTATAAAGAAGCTATCATATGGTAGAATTTCTGAAGTAAAATTCTGGTAATAGTCGATAAAATGTTTCATGAGTAATTCTTCATAGATGTGATTTCTGAGTTAGCTCCTTCAGGTTGTCCCTCCCCCATGGTACAGACCCGTACACGTTCGCTGTTCCACTTTCAGCGTACCGCTCGCGTAGCATTTCCGTACCGTTTGCGTAGCACTTGCGTATAACTTGCGTAGCATTTCCGTAGTACTTCCGTACCATTACCGTAGCATTTCCGTAGCACTTGTGTAGCGTTTCCTTAGCACTTCCTAAGCATAGCATATTTGTCGAAACGAATTGTAAAAAAAAATCATTATAAACCGCATTACGTGAAAAATATTCCAACTATCATAAAAGTCTGAAGGAAAACCCCCGCACAAAAATGACGGTTTACACATACATGGACGTAACAGCCCTCCTCCCATGGGCCTACTGTGTGTTCCCCACACCAGCAGCTATATATATATAGGCCTTAGGGGTATTTAAATAACAGGCATACAGCTGCTGGCCTTGTGGTAATGACCTGTCCCTTGTTTAAGGTATAAACAACTTTAGTGTCCGTTATAAAGGTTGTAAGGGCAACATGACCACCCGCTGACAGATACATTTCTTTCAATATGATATCTATATACCTGAGAATCTAGGCAGTGATAATGCATTGACCATTCACCTGTGGTCACATTGGATTCTGATGTGCTGTACCTGATCAAGGTCATATTCTGTGATTTCAAGGCAATTTAGTCCATGTCAATTAATCCAGTTCATTGTCTATCTGTATACAGGTAAATCAGTTCAAGGTAAAAACCTAGAAGAATGTGCAGAATAAAATAGAATATTCTCAAAAGCAAATTTTTATAGATATATTTACGATCATTTTAATCTACAGAACTCCCAGCGTAAACCCATACAAAAAGAATATTTGAAAGAAATAAAAAAAAAAAATCTCTTCATAACTTAAAATTAGAAAAAGGGCGATATCAAAACATTGAATTGTCGAGTGTGTAATGTTAGTAATTTAGATGATGTTGAAGATCTAGTCATTCTGATTTGTGAGCAATTGTTTTGAAAACTTATTATATTAAAAAGCCAAGCATATTTAAAATGAAAGGATTATTGAGTGTGATTAATACAAAAGAAATAACGAACTTATGGAAACATATAAAATTTGCAAATTCGAGAGGAACCTAATTATTATAAATAGGTATCACTGAGAATCACTTAAGAGCGAAAAAATCAATTCTACGACTTAATCTACCTTATTATACCAGTAAACTTCAATTAGCATTGAATTTTACAAAACACAATCTAAATCATAAATTCATGACCGAACTTAATGACGTACCAGCTAAATAATCTATGAATGGCTAACTTAATGATGTACAATCTAAATCATATTTGCAT